GAAAAAACTTATTTTTTGGGGAAAAAATGACAACAAAGGGGAACCTTAAGGGCCGTCCCCATGCAGCCCCCCCCCCCCCCCCCCCCACACACACACACACACAAACAGATAACAACAGTTACATGTGCTCACACACGCAAACACACATTTTCATTAGACTGAAGACCAGTGATCAGAACATTATCATAGAAGAGCTAGGGAACTGACAGGTCATTGACCTAATGGACTGCCAGTTCTTCCACAACCCCCCCCCCCCCCCCCTTCAGAATTAATCGCCTGTCCTCCCACCCCACTCCCCCTTAAGAATATATAATGTAATATACCTGAGGGAAGCCGTTACTTGGAAAGATACCTTTTAAGGTTGGTTTGTGAATGCAAGACATGATGACAGAATCTACCAGTGTCTAGAATTCTAAATGTGAGGTTTACTGTAGAAGTGATGATACTGGAAAACATTTAAAAAAAATTAATATTGCTTTTAAAAAATGTTTACCTTTGATGGAACATTCGAATATGTCTATGTCTTATCAAAAGAGATATGTTATTAAACCATGAATTTATTCTGTTTTAGAGAACTCCCTACAGACATACAACCCTGGGGTAGCGTTAACACTTGCCAATTTAGCCAAATGCTAAAACTGACTGAAATTGGCTAAATGAAATAGGGTTGACTTGACTTATTTTAGTCAAATTTAAACCATTTGGACAAAAAAGTGATGAAAAATTAGTTATTTGGCTAAAGGAAAGAAATTGCTAGTGCCACCCCAGCCACCCCACTGTGGGCCTCCCAACTACCAATTTCCTCATCCCAAACTAATGGATTCCACGAACTTTTAAAAAGTCTGTGCATGCCCATCATTTCTCAAAGCTTTTCTCCAGAGTAAGTGAACCACATCGCCACGAGAAGTCATCTCTGCTATGCGTCAGGGTCTGGGAGAGGGTCATGCTTACTTGACCAAAATAATTACAGTACCACACGCCCTTTCTACACGGAACCCGTGACCCTGAAGGTACGCCCCGGGTCACGCCATGTCCTCAGACAGGGGCTCCTCCCTGCTGCCTCTGACTTCCCATCAGACAGTGCGAGATGGATTTCATGTAGGACAGCCATGAGTGGGGAATCTGCCATCACATGCCACTCATGGCCATCTAGAAATAATGGAGACAACATGTCCCATCACAAAGTGTCACACATACTGCTAAGATAAAGTACACGGGGGCAGCAAAGGGCCTTTTAACTGTCAGATTATTAAGATAATGGACTTTTTAAAACACAGGTCTATGTGTGTGTGGTGTTTGTAGAGGAGGGGCTATGGACTGGCCATGCAGATTGAGGAAAGGGGTGAGGCTCAGGCAAGG